TCTGGTATCCCCATCTCTTCCAGAATTTTCCACAGTTTATTGTGATCCATACAGTAAAAGGCTTTGGCATAGTCAATAAAGCAGAACTAGATATTTTTCTGGAACTCTCTTGCTTTTTTGATGATCCAGCAGATGTTGGCAATTTGATCTCTTGTTCCTCTGCCTTTTCTAAAACCAGCTTGAACATCTGGAAGTTCACGGTTCACGTATTGCTGAAGCCTGGCTTGGAGAATTTTGAACATTACTTTACTAGTGTGTGAGATGAGTGCAATTGTGTGGTAGTTTGAGCATTCTTTGGCATTGCCTTTCTTTGGGATTGGAATGAAAACTGACCTTTTCCAGTCCTGTGGCCACTGCTGAGTTTTCCAAATTTGCTGGCATATTGAGTGCAGCACTTTCACAGCATAATCTTTCAGGATTTGAAATAGCTCAACTGGAAGTCCATCACCTCCACTAGCTTTGTTCATAGTGATGTTTTCTAAGGCCCACTTGACTTCATATTCCAGGATGTCTGGCTCTAGATGAGTCATCACACCATCGTGATTATCTGGGTCGTGAAGATCTTTTTTGTACAGTTCTTCTGTGTATTTTTGCCACCTCTTCTTAGTATCTTCTGCTTCTGTTAGGTCCATACCATTTCTGTCCTTTATCGAACCCATCTTTGTGTGAAATGTTCCCTTGGTATCTCTAATTATCTTGCAGAGATCTCTAGTCTTTCCCGTTCTGTTGTTTTCCTCTATTTCTTTGCACTGATCCATGAGGAAGGCTTTCTTATCTGTCCTTGCTATTCTTTGGAACTCTACATTCAAAGGGGAATATCTTTCCTTTTCTCCCTCGCTTTTCACTTCTCTTCTTTTTACAGCTATTTGTAAGGCCTCCTCAGACAGCCATTTTGGTTTTTTTGCATTTCTTTTCCATGGGGATGGTCTTAATCCCTGTCTCCTGTATAATGTCACGAACCTCCATCCATAGTTCATCAGGCACTCTGTCTATCAGAACTAGTCCCTTAAATCTATTTCTCGCTTCCACTGTATAATCATAAGGGATTTGATTTAGGTCATACCTGAATGGTCTAGTGGTTTTCCCTACTTTCTTCAATTTAAGTCTGAATTTGGCAATAAGGAGTTCATGAGCTGAGCCACAGTCAGCTTCCAGTCTTGTTTTTGCTGACTGTACAGAACTTCTCCATCTTTGACTGCAAAGAATAGAATCAATCTGATTTAGGTGTTGACCATCTGGTGATGTCCATGTGTAGAGTCTTCTCCTGTGTTGTTGGAAGAGGGTGTTTGCTATGACCAGTGCGTTCTCTTGGCAAAACTCTATTAGCCTTTGCCCTGCTTCATTCTGCATTCCAAGGCCATATTTGCCTGTTATTCCAGGTGTTTCTTGACTTCCTACTTTTGCATTCCAGTCCCCTATAATGAAAAGGACATCTTTTTTGGGTTGTTAGTTCTAAAAGGTCTTGTAGGTCTTCATAGAACCATTCAACTTCAGTTCGTCAGCGTTACTGGTTGGGGCATAGACTTGGATTACCGTGATATTGAATGGTTTGCCTTGGAAATGAGCAGAGATCATTCTGTCGTTTTTGAGATTGCATCCAAGTACTGCATTTCATACTCTTTTGTTGACCATAATGACTACTCCATTTCTTCTAAGGGATTCCTGCCCACAGTAGTAGACACAATGGTCATTTGAGTGAAATTCACCCATTCCAGTCCATTTCAGTTTGCTGATTCCTAGAATGTCAACGTTCACTCTTGCCATCTCCTGTTTGACCACTTCCAATTTGCCTTGATTCATGGACCTAACATTCCAAGTTCCTATCCAATATTGCTCTTTACAGCATCAGGCCTTGCTTCTATCACCAGTCCCATCCACAACTAGGTATTGTTTTTGCTTTGGCTCCATCCATTCATTCTTTCTGGAGTTATTTCTCCACTGACCTCCTGTAGCATATTGGGCACCTACCGACCTGGGGAGTTCCTCTTTCAGTATCCTATCATTTTGCCTTTACATACTGTTCATGGGGTTCTCAAGGCAAGAATACTGAAGTGGTTGGCCATTCCCTTCTCCAGCGGACCACATTCTGTCAGACCTCTCCACCATGACCCGTCCATCTTGGGTGGCCCCACACAGCGTGGCTTAGTTTCATTGAGTTAGACAAGCTGTGGTCCTGTGATCAGATTGGCTAGTTTTCTGTGATTGTGGCTTCAGTCTGTCTGCCCTCAGATGCCCTCTCGCAACATCTACTGTCTTACTTGCTGCTTTATTGACTATGCCAAAGCCTTTGACTGTGTTGATCACAACAAACTGTGGAAAATTCTGAAAAGATGGGCATACCAGACCACCTGACCTGCCTCTTGAGAAACCTGTATGCAGTCAGGAAGCAACAGTTAGAACTACACATGGAACAACAGACTGGTTCCAAATAGGAAAACGACTACGTCAAGGTTGTATATTGTCACCCTGCTTATTTAACTTATATGCAGAGTACATCACGCAAAATGCCGAGCTGGATGAACCACAGGCTGGAATCAAGATTAGTGGGAGAAATTTCAATAACGTCAGATATGCAGATGACACCACCCTTATGGCAGAAAGTGAAGAAGAACTAAAGAGCCTCTTGAAGAAAGTGGAAGAGGAGAGTGAAAAAGTTGGCTGAAAACTCAACATTCAGAAAACTAAGATCATGGCATCTGGTCCCATCAGTTCATGGCAAATAGATGGGGAAACAATGGAAACAGTGCCAGATTTTTTTTTTGGGGGGGGGGGTTGCTAAATCACTGCAGATGGTGACTGCCACCATGAAATTAAAAGACACTTGCTCCTTGGAAGAAAAATTATGACCACCCTAGGCAGCAGAGATATTACTTTGCCAACAAAGGACCATCTAGTCAAAGCTATGGTTTTTCCAGTAGTCATGTATGAATGTGAGAGTTGGACTATAAAGAAAGCTGAGTGCCAAAGAACTGATGCTTTTGAACTGTGGTGTTGGAAAAGACTCTTGAAGAGTCCCTTAGACTGACTGCAAAGAGATCCAACCAGTCCATCCTAAAGGAGATCAGTCCTGGGTGTTCATTGGAAGGACTGATGCTGAAGCTGAAACTCCAATAGTTTGGCCACTTGATGTGAGAAACTGACTCATGGGAAAAAACCTGATGCTAGAAAGATTGCAGGAAGGAGGAGAAGAGGACGCCAGAGGATGAGATGGTTGGATGGCATCACTGACTCGATGTATATGAGTTTGAGTAAACTCTGGGAGTTTTGAAGGACACGGAGGCCTGGCGTGCTACAGTCCATGGGGTCGCAAAGAGTCAGACACAACTGAGCGACTGAATTGAACTGAACTGAATTAGAGAAAGGAAATAGCTCAAAATTCAGAGACTGGCACCGGGTCCCTCACCCACAACATGCATTTTGAGATAACATTGGTACAAGGAGAGTTGTCCGGGGTCTTAAAATGACTGACATGAATCTTGAAGAAAGGCAGATTTCCAAGCAAATACAGTCTCATTAACATAGCTTAAGAGAATATTCACATGAGTAAAACACACTGGTTTGTCAAGTGTGTTCTGAGTTGTCAGGGAATGTTTAACGGGAGGATTCCTACGTGCTCTTTCTCATAAATCCTCTGTTCCTTATTAGCTTCTGCTAGAAGCAAGTAGAACTGCAAGCAGCTCTCAGGACTGAGGTCATTGTGTGAGACGGGCTTGGGTCTCCTTTAGTGAACATTCTCTTTATGACAAAACTGCTTAGTCTCGTCCCCCTTTTGTTGAGATATGGATTGCCTCCTGACCTTGTGACCATTATTATCCTTTGTTCCCTTGGTAACGGTTACTGTACATTTGGTTTTCTAATCTTTATCATTATCGAAAGAAATTTCTTGTACTACAGCTTATATATACTCACAGAAAAATCATTAAAGCACCTTTGCTCCATCAGAGCTTGGGTCCCCATGTCTTTCTTTATCTCTCTCTCTCTCCCTCCCTCCGACTCTCTCTCACTTTCTTATCGTCCACTCCAGACCGCTAGGTCCCGGTCCATTAAAGGACCCCAACACTGAGTCTTAGGGGGAATGGACTTGAAGACAGAGTCCAAATACATAGTTCATTAACATAGCTTAAGACAAACATTTCCGTTAAAAAAACACATTGATTAGCTCAAGGTTTGAGAAATGTTAAGTTTAGGTGGAACCAGGTGTCATCATGGCAACACAGAATTTTAAAAGAAACCTCTTTTTAAATTTGTATAGAGGGAAAAATATAACACTAATAGTTTGTTCCTCTTGCCGCTTAAGAACGAGATATAAAATGTCTGACACTTGTAGCGTCTTTCCTCTGTTTGGCAACCCCTGGCCTTCGGGCCTGCTAACCTTCTCAGCATCAGGAGTAACAACGACTCGCAACGCAGCAAGCTTAATATTTTATGTGTCAGTTTCCTTGTGTCTTGGGATGACCAGACGTTTTCCTGTCTAGGAACGTCGCATGGGGTTCCTCTCCTTGCTTCCAGTCCTGGAGTATCCACTCATCTAGAAAGCAGGCTACCAAGTACGCTCAAAACATCCCAAACTGTCATAGGCCAAGCGGGAACTGACTCCTTGGAAAACACGGTGATGCTGGGAAACACTGAAGGCAGGAGAAGCGGACAACAGAGGATGAGATGGCTGGATGGCATCACCAACTCGCTGGGCATGAGTCTGAGCTAGCTCTGGGAGTTGCCGATGGTCAGTGGAGCCTGGCGTGCTCCATGGGGCCCATGGGGTCGCAAAGAGGCGAACGCGACTGAGGGACTTAACTGAACTGAACCTCCCCACAGAAGAGCCCAGCAGAAACACGCCCTAAGAGCGACGGCACGCTGCGCATGTGCGCTCTCCGGGGCGGAAACTCCGGCCCGGCTGTTTACCAACTTGCGCGGCCAGCCAGCGGCGCATGCGTACCTTGGCTTCTGGGCGCAGTGCGCCTCTCAGTAGGCGGGCGCAGGGCGCAGGGGCTGCTGGGAAGATGGCGGGGGTGGGCCTGGCTCCCGTGGCCGCTTGGGTACCTTGTCGCAGGTGGGGCTGGGCGGCAGTCACCCTCGGCTTCCACCATGGTCTCAGCATGTTACTTGCACGGAAGACCGAGCGGGCGCCACAGTGGTTCCGAGGTCAGTGTCCGAAAGACTGGAGTAAGACGCGTTCTTTCGAACATACCGGATTTCGGCGGTTCCTGACCCGTGCGTTTTTGGCGCTCCGTTCAGAAATCCTCTTTCCAGGTTCTCAGTACCCCAGTTCTTTTAACAAATCTGATGAAGGTAGTGAGAGAGCTCTGCCAGGCCCCGGGGTATCCTGACAGCCCGGGCAGTGGTTGGTGTTATGCTCTGTAGTTCAAGGATTCTCTCTGCCCACCTCCCCTGTGTTAAGCGCCAAGACTAGCAAAAATTCAGATGTGCATTTAATATGTTCGCTTATTAATTGCTTTGTCTTTTCTATGCACGTTCTAAGGGGTTTACAGATGTGACTGTTAGTTGCTTAGACCTGCTCTCTTTCGGGCGATTTTACAGGAAGGTTTTACATGTTCTTTGTAAAAGTGTAAACTTTTGCGTTTTTTGGTTGTTTTGGGTCTTCCCGCCCCAACCCGGTCGCCAAGATTCCAGCCCTGTAAAAATCATAGCCATTACTCTACAAAGGAAGTTAGAATTTGGACAAAAATTACAGCCCCTGAATATTTCTTTGTGCTTGATTCTTCTCCGGCTCATCCCACCTCCACTCCCCCATATATATAGCCTGTCTTTCTGAATTATGTCTTTTTGTTTTGGGGTTCATACCCTTGCACCCCAGCTGTCAGATGCATGGTGCTTGAAACGGGGACTGTCTTTGTAAATACCCTTGTTTTGAGTTAAAATGTTTAAATATATAGCCAACTTAATTGTACACCAAAAGGCTGTTACATATGTCCCTCCTGCAAAGTATAGTATGTCGTTGGGTAACTAAAGTATAATTCTCTTTCACTGTTTAGTAGTTTCGCTGAAGATATATGCCTCAGATTTTGAGCTAATTCTTACAGTACAACCATCATTTATGGATATTATGTTAAGAAGATGACCATTTATAACTCATCAAGATTTAAATAAATTGTGATGGTCTCATGGAAAATTTCCTATTGGAAAGTAAAATGGAAAAGAGGATAGGAAGGCGTTTTTGAGTGCTAAAGAAATGGGAAAAGAACATTTTTGCTGCTACAATCTGTCAGTCTGCATTACTGGCTCCTACTTACCTTGTTTTTCACTAAAAGTTTTAAATTTGGCATATTTCACTATGCGTTGAAACTCTGAAGCAAGCCTATGTGTAAAAGGGATAGCTTTAAGGCCTTCAATTCAGTGTTTAAAAAATCAACTTCTCAAATCCAAAATGAGGAAAACTTTATTAGCTCACATGGAAGAAACTGTGAAGTTTTAATTAGCCACAATAGAGAAAGGTTTCAAGAAATAAAAAAGAGATTTCATTAGTCCAGGAAAAGAGTGTTAAGGGACTACACAAATCTGATTTCTCTGGAGGGAGAAAATGGGATTATAAATGACTTTTTGTTTTTAAACATCGTTCTACATTTTTTAAGAGCAAGTATTGACTTTATGGCCTCCCAGGTAGTGGTCACAGTATAAAGAATCTGCCTGCCGATGCAGGAGATGCAAGAGATGGGTTCAGTCCCCGGTTCAGGAAGATCCCGTGGAGGAGAAAATAGCAACCCACTCCAGTATTCTTGCCTGGAAAATGCCATGGCCAGAGGAACCTGGTGGGCTACAATCCATCGGGTCGCAGAGAGTCGGAGGTCGCTGAGCACATGCACAGGTTGACCTTACTGTAGGGTGGGGAACGAACTTTAAAGGTAGTAGAGTGGAGTAGCGTTATAAGGGTTTCCCATTGTGCCTGTTTATTTGCATTCAGATTTGTGTGTACCTTTCAAGAAAGCCAAACCAACAAATAAAACACAGTGATTGGGAGTCCTATGAGAAATCTTTTTCCAAAAATGATATTATACATTTATTCAAGGTTACTTGTAAAGAAACTGTTCACAAACCCTCCTCAGCAGATAGAGAATCATGATTGACTATTACCATAGGTTAAGACTTTATGGATGAAGAAAGAATAAGTAATAAAAGGAGCCAGCACCTCTGTCTTTGATTCAGTTTCCCAATGTTAGACCAAACTTGTTTCTCTCCCTCCCTACCAAAAAGTAGAGGATGTGAAACCCGTCAGACATTTAAAAAAAATTTCAAAGAAGACTGAAATCTCCCAAGAAAAGGCTTAAAACTAGTGTAGGTAAATCTGAATGTTGATTGATACTGTTTGGAACAGATGATGCAACAGGAAAACTTTTTTGACAAGTCTCTCTGTCTTTAGTGGCCTTCAGATTTCCTTGTTGTGTATTTTGGAAGAATCATGATTGAACCTTGCTCAGAGAAGATCAATTGTGACATGATTTTTAGAGATAGGCACAGACTTGTGACTTTTAATACTCCATGTCTATATTTTTTTTTTTACAAAATGGAAATAGTATTTGATATCAGTTTGGCAAGTTGAGAAAGTTAAGATTGAAAATATGTATGGTTTTCCAAAAACTGTATTTGCAAACTTTATGTTCTGTGTACTTTGTTTAGCTTGCAGACACAAGACATCAGTCTCTTTCCTTAGTCGACCAGACCTCCCAAACCTGGCTTATAAAAGGCTGAAAGGCAAAAGTCCAGGAATTATCTTCATCCCTGGCTATATTTCTAATATGAATGGTACAAAAGCATTGGCGATTGAGGAGTTTTGCAAATCTCTAGGTCACGCCTATATAAGGTAGGAATAACACATTTCAAAGAAATTATTACTACCATTTACCTTGGCAGTCAAGAATTACTTCTGCTCTAACCAACTGAAGCAAATACTAGCATTTTTATAGATTAATTTATTTCAATAGTCTGTAAACTTTCATCTTGTGATTTAGGGTTCATGTAAAATGCAATCTTTAATAGTTTTTTTTTTTAATTTTTAACTGGGAGATAATTGCTTTACAGTATTGTGTTGGTTTCTGCCATATATCAACATGAATCAGCCATGGGTGTAAGGATGTCCCCTCCCTTGCGAACGTCCCTCCCATCTGGCCTTTGTGCCACGCTGATGGTGCTGGCAGACAAGGAAACTAGTGGTAACTTAAGCTCTTTAGAAACAGTATGCTAACATGACAGCAAACCAGTGTACTAGGTGGCTGTCCTGTAATCTCTGAGAGTCTGGTGCTCCTTTTGGAACTTAAGGGCCACTGTTATTTAACCTCTGTTTATTTCATTACTTTCAAAATATGTAGTTTAAAGTAGCATCTGTGTTTAAAAGTGCTGTAAAATTGATACTGTGTAATGCACCTTTTCACTGAATTTCCTCTTTCACTTCTGTAGTCTGAATATGTATATATAAGCATAAATAAGGGTATGTGTTGTTTACTACTTGATTTTACAATTCTTAATATTTCATACTGATAATTATTTTACTAAAATAATGTTTCACTGTTATTAGGATTGTTTACTTAGAACAGTCATTTATTTAGTGCCTAATTTGCCAGAAGAGATAGTATGGGTTAGTAAAAAGAGCACTGGCCTGAAATTCAAGAAACATGGACTCTAAAATTAATGCTAACATTAGCTATGACAAGATGAGTTGGTTAATAAATGCTGGAGCTGTTTTCATCATAAAAAGGAGGAGATTGGATGAAATATAATTTGTGAATTCATTTCTAGCTCTAGCAACCTAAAAATGTATTTATGTAGTTTTTAGAAGAGTTTCACTATCATTCACTCAATAGGTCTAGAAAATACAGCTTTCAGAAATAAAATAAGTAATTAGAAATAAAAATAAAAACTTTTAGACTTAAAAGTGACTTTTATCTACTCAGTATATTAGCAGAAATTATGTCAATTATATGAATTTAGTCTTACTCCTTTTAGCAAATTAACTGAATTATTTCATTTTCGTGCTCAGAACTCTTTAAAATGTTCCAAATTAACTGTTATCCTTAAGACTGGAGTATTTTTTACAAGTAGACCTTCTAACCCTACAATGGTGCTGTAAAATATACAAAGAATTTTAAAACATGGTCGTTGCCTATAAGGATCTTTTAATCAGGATGGAGGAATGCAAGATAAAATACATATGGGAAATTAGGAAGAAATATTCATCAAAATGTGATTATGCCAAAGAGCATGATACTTAACTGTATGTATTGAGAGAAAAATAGGGGCTGAAGTAGATAGAACACACTATAAAGGAACACTGAGAAACAGTTAGGATTTAGGTAAGAGGGAAGAGCAGTCCAAGGAGGAGGACTGTCTTGAGCAAGACACGATGAAGTCAGGAACACTGCCGTCATTCTGCTTTGTCCCCAGAAGAATTTAACTCAAGAAGTCCTTATTTTATCAGTTCTGAGTTTAGATTGAGACTGTAAGAGCTACAGCCGGTTCCTGTCTGCCTATAAGATGTATGAAGGAGTTTTCTGCATTTTAGATGCATATGAAATAAATTTTCTTTTTAAAGGTATATTTAGTAATCATGAAATTAAAGTATGTACAGACAATTATATGAATTTAGTCTTATTCCTTTTATCCAAAGGAATATGTGGTACTATATCAAAATGTAACCTAAATGTATACTTATACACCTTTATACAATATAGCCATTCATTACAATTTTTAATTTGATCAGGCTCCTTTTTATATGCTTTTATCAAACTTCATTGTAATCTAATCACTATTAGCAATTGATTGCACTTTAACTTGTTTTAATGGATTCCCAGTTGGCGCTAGTGGTAAAGAACCCGCCTGCCAATGTAAGAGACATGAAGATTGGATAAGAGATTTTATCTTCTATTTATACTCCCAGTTTCTCAGTTTACTTTCTTTGTGATTTTGTCTGTAAAACTTAGATCTTGAATGAAGAAATGGTTAGTTTTGTATATTATACAAGAACAGTACCTATGGTTCAGTGGAAATGGTTTCTTAATATCCTGCCACCATCCAGGATATTAAGATTGAGTCAGAGCTCAGGAATATGACACATGGCTTTAAGAATGGTCTTCTCTCATGATGATTTCTAATAATATTTAAAATTTTAGATTTGGAAAATTTAAAATATATTTAGATTTGAGAATATTGAGGCTGCTAGGACTGAATTGCCTTACTGTGATTAAAAGTTGTAAATTGCCAAATCTTTGTCACTTGGTTAGGGTTCAGCAAGAAGGAGCTGTATTTTTCACTTGTTACCCATTAGCATCACTGAATGCTAGTATTTACCTTTTTGAAGGCCCTGTACATGTCTTTTGGAGAGGGGCACGGCAACCCACTCCAATATTCTTGCCTGGAGAATCCCCACGGACAGAGAAGCCTGGCGGGCTACAGTCCACAAGGTCACAAAGGGTCAGACACAACTGAGTGACTAAGCATAAGTGTACATGTGTTGTGCATCTTCACCACATACCTGTGGCAACTGTAAGCAACATAGCAGGTAGAGATGTCTTTGCCCACAGAGGGGGGTAAAGGAGAATTGGGTTTTTCTCCCCCTTCTCCCTGGTCTGTCTTCTGCATCCCTTGGATTGAGGACTTCAGCCTTGTTATCCTGTTTCCCAAGAATCCAAAACCACGTCACTTCTTACTTAAAATTTTAATTTCTTTCTCCACTTTTAAATCCCTTATCTCTAAGAAGATATGTTACACCATTCTGCTGTTCCTACATACCCTTCTAGTGCGGGAGACAGGCCACAAACCAGTAATCCAATAGACACACATTGCCAGGTAGCAGTATTGGCTGTGGAGAAAATAAAACCGAGTCAGGAACCGGAGAATGATGAAGGAGGTGCAGCTTTAGGTTGAAGGGTCAGAGAAGGCTTCTGGAGATGTAACACTGGGGCCCGACTGAAGGGAGGGAGCTGTCTGGGTGAATGTCTCAGGTCAAGTCGTCCACAGGGAAGGAGAAGCTGATGTAAAACCCCTGAGTTGGGAATGTGGAAGGTGTATTCCATTAACTTGAAAAATGAGGATGCAGTTGGGAGGGAGAGAGAAATGGGAGAAATGAGATCAGAGAGGTGGTTAGGGGCTAGATGATGGGAAGGACTTTGGATTCTACTGAAAGATTGTGCAGAACCTGTGAAGGGTATGTGCAGGACATGGTCTTCTTCTTTTGTCTTTTTAAGGGTCACTGACTGCTGTGTGGGGAATACACTGTGAGGGTGAAAAGTGAAAATGGAGATTTACTAGGAGACTCTTGTGTTAGTTCAGTCGAGAGAGAATAGTGACTTGGCCCAGGCTGGCACAGGGGAGGAGGTGAGGAAGCGAGTGACTATGGGAGGTATTTGAAGGTTAAGCCAATAAGATTTGCTGAAATACATACTGACTTCACTTTTATTTTAATAGAGTTGAGGCATTGTAATTAACGTGCTATCTTCCTTAGAAATTAGGGAAGGAAATACTAGATATCTAGATACAAATACGTTTTCTCTTTCTCTAGGTTTGATTACTCAGGAGTTGGAAATTCAGATGGTAACTTAGAAGAATGCACAGTGGGCAAGTGGAGAAAAGATGTTCTTTCTATAATTGATGACTTGGCTGAAGGGCCACAGGTGACTGTTTTTGTTAAATATGATAATTGTTGTGGACTATAACCTCATGATACTGGAGCTGTTTCATTAGATGCAAATATTTAGTATTTTAATGTCTAACGATCAATTTTTATATTTTAATGTCAAATCAATCAGTTGTATCATTGTCACTTTCTCCTAAAATGTAAGTATCATTTTACTTTTCATTTTACAAATTTTATTTGTCTAATTTACTCTCTGTTATAGATCTGATACTTTAACAAAAAGTAATCATAATCTTCATTTTACTTTGTGCCAATTAGTAGAGGTCTGGGAGCCACTGGATATAAAGGCAGAAAATATGTACATTCTATGAAATCAGTCCATCCCTTACCAGAAAGAAAAAGGAACTCCTCTTCAGAACAACGTGCTTTCGTTTTTAGATCCTGGTTGGATCCAGCCTTGGTGGGTGGCTCATGTTTCACGCTGCAATCGCACGGCCACAGAAGGTTGCTGCCCTCGTCGGCGTAGCGGCGGCTGTGGATGGCCTGGTGACGCAGTTTAACCAGCTTCCTGTCGAGGTGAGTCCCAGGCAACCTCGGTGTACCCCTCCTGTTGTTCTTCTGCTCCCTCTTTCTCTGAATTCTGTTCCTGTGTCCTCTGTCCTTTGACTAGTTATGCTAGCTCATCTTTGTCTTAACTGACTTTTTGTATACCATTTCTTTGCTTTTTTTTAACTATTTGAGTGAGTGAGCGTCACTCAGTCGTGTCCCAACTCTTTGCGACCCCATGGACTGTATAGTGGAATTCTCTGGGCCAAAACTCTGGAGTGGGTAGCTGGTCCCTTCTCTAGGAGATCTTCCCAACCCAGGTCTCGAACCCAGGTCTCCCACATTGCAGGCAGATTCTTTACCAATTGAGCCACCAGGGAAGCCCGTTTTGGTCTCCTGTTTAAGATTTTCTGTCTTTTCACAGTCCCTTCAAATCGTTGTGTCACATGGATGAAATCACACTTTAAACTTTTGTTTTATCAACATGTTACTAACCACGTTTGTTTATTTGGATCACATATTGTGATCTCTTTGTGTACCTCTTGGTCTGTTTTGTGGCCTGTGGGTGGTGGTATTAATACCTGTTCTACAACTATGTTAAACCAGCCAATCAGTTATGAAAGTTCTTTTTTAAGCCTTAAAGCCTCAGATTCTCTCTTAGCAGAGCTCTCCGAGCACACACTGTCAGTCACACACAGGAGATAAGGTTTGCCATTCCTGGCCTAGACACTAATTTGACATTCTTTTTCTACTTCTGATTTTCACCTTTAAAAAAAAAAAGGGTGCTTTTCATCATAGCATGTTCTTCTGCAAATCATGATAGAAATAAGGTTTCTGAAATAATTGGAAAGGTAATTGGTTTATTATACTTTGCTCTTGAATATATGTTTAAGTACTTCAGTTGTCTCCAAGGATAAAAAAGTGGTGGGTAATAGCTGTTTATTTTTGTGTGTGTTATTTTTTTGTTTGGAAATCAGTTGAGTTCTCCTTGGGCATATTTTTCCTTGAGATCTAAATTTCGCCTATGGGACTAATCCTAGCAGAAAGAAACTGTCTGGAGCCATGGTTCAAAATGTGTAGTCCCTAGGCCAGCAGTAACAGCATCACCTGAGAACTTGTATTAATAGAAATATGTATTCTTGAGCTTCACCAGACTCACTGAATCAGAAACTGGGAGTGTGGCCCCGTCGTCCGTTTTACAAGGCCCCTGAGAACCACCGCTGTAGAGAGCAGGGTATGCGGAGGAGGAAGAAAAGAAAAAGAAGGAAAAAGCATATGTAGTGTTGAAGACTAGAATGTCATTGACTTTTGCCTCAAGTTCTGCATTGAATTCAGTGCCATATACTGTCTGTTCTAAGTTTATTCTTTTTTCACATTGTTCTCTCCAGTTCTGTAAGAAATGACCTTGTTTGCAAAGTCAGGTTCTTCATATGATTTCTAGTCAGGGCTAAAATTATGAAGCTGATCTTTGCGCTTACCTATTTCTGAGATTTTTTTTTCCTTTCTGTTTCTCATACATAGATGCTTAATGTCCTCATGCTGCTAAATTCTCCTGCCATTGTATCCTCTGCATCTAAACCCTGAAGCCCTTACTCTGCTTCTCATGGTGGGAAATTATTTCAAGATGATGGCCTGTTGGAAAGGTGTTGATTACACAGTTTTGGGGGGTTATTGGGAAATGACAAGATCTATGGAAATTTCTCTTTATGTGTGTACATTCATCACTCAGAGAGAAGATAAGGTAGGTAGCCCGTAATTGGCTGAGAAGATCTATGTCCTGCAAATCAGGGTATTTCTTTGGTAATCCTAAACCATACCAGTGAAGAATTCTTAAACACGTTGAGCCCTTTAAACTTAAAACCATGCGTAAAGAAAGGGCCTGGACACTAGGATCTCTGCCTCTTCTCCACAGAAGCAGCGAGTGCTCTCTGTCAAGGGAATAGACCCAGAGGTTTTTACTGTCTTCTTTAGCCCTGGAAATGTTAAGATCCAGCATTATTCATTGTTCGTGTGGGAACTTGATTTACCTCTAACTCTAATCATTGTCTCCTTCTGTGGACACTTCAGTTCAGTTCAGGTCAGGTCAGTCGCTCAGTCATGTCCGACTCTTTGCAACCCCATGGACTGCAGCATTCCAGGCCTCCCTGTCCATCACAAACTCCTGGAGCTTGCTCAAACTCAGTGTCCGTCAGTGATCCATCAGTGATGCCAGCCAACCCTCTCATCCTCTGTCGTCCTCTTCTCTTCCCGCCTTCAATATATAAAGCATTAGGGTCTTTTCCAAGGAGTCAGTTCTTTGCATCAGGTCAGACTGTTGGAGTTTCAACTTCAGCATCAGTCCTTCCAATGAATATTCAGGACTGATTTCCTTAGTATGGACTAGTTGGATCTCCTTGCTGTCCAAGGGACTCTCCAAGAGTCTTCTCCAACACCACAGTTCAAAAGCATCAGTTCTTCGGCACTCAGCCTTCTTTATAGTCCAACTCTCAGATCCATACATGACTACTGGGAAAACCATAGCTTTGACTAGACGGACCTTTGTTTGTAAACTAATGTCTCTGCTTTTGAATATGCTGTCTAGGTTGGTCATAGCTTTTCTTCCAAGGAGCAAGCGTCTTTTAATTTCATGGCTGCAGTCACCATCTGCAATGATTTTGGAGCCCCAAAAAATAGTCTTTCACTGTTTCCATTGTTTCCCATCTATCTGCCATGAAGTGATGGGACCAGATGCCATAATCTTATTTTTCTGAATGTTGAGCTTTAAGTCAATTTTTTCACTCTCCTCTTTCACTTTCATCAAGAGGCTCTTTAGTTCTTCTTCACTTTCTGCCGTAAAGGTGGTGTCCTCTGCATATCTCAGGTTATTGATATTTCTCCTGGAAATCTTGATTCCAGCCTGTGGTTCATCCAGCCCGGCATTTTGCATGATGTACTCTGCATATGTTAAATAACCAGGGTGACAATATACAGCCTTTACGTACTCCTTTCCCGATTTGGAACCAGTGTGTGTTCCATGTCCAGTTTAACTGTTTCTTCTTGACCTGCACACAGATTTCTGTATGGACACTAGAGGGCATCAGACAGGATGCACAGCTGTTGGAATCCAAGCTTCAGACACATTGCCTTGCTAGTTTCTTTTGGTGTAAGAATTATGAATATTGTACATTTTCTTTGATTAAAGCTATTTTTACTAATATTCCTGTAGTTTTTGTTTTTGAGGCTTTGGGACATGCAAGATTGTGTAAAGTTAAGTCTGTTCTTCAAATGAACAATATTCATTCACCTCAATAGCAGATAACAAAGCTAGTTGGGAAGCAGCAGTGCTTACAATGCAATTATTATTATGTCTTGGTAATTAGCATAGTTGCCCCTTCATCAAATAATCAGTGGAACTAAGTTCTAACTACTGAAATTACAAATTCAGGAACAGTCATAAGTAGTTTGAGGATAACTGAATATCATTTTTTTGCTTTAAATATTTGGTTCACATGTTGCTTTACCCATGATATTAATATACATTATAATATAGGTTTTTACTCTATTTTAAATCATTTGACTATAGATATTTAGAAGTTTATCTTTCAGATATACAGCTTTTTCACTGAAGTATTTTTGGAATTTTATAAAATACATTAAAATACCTAAATGCATGTAGATAACATCATATATATTTTACTGTTTTAAATTCTTTTTTGCCTCTGAATTTGTAATAAGTGAATAGTTTTAAATGTGGAAATACAATATTTTTATTGAAAATTTAAATACAAATTTTTTTAAATATGTTGTATGTAGCTTTTCTTTTCTTGTATTTTTCTTTATTTTTGATAAGCCATCCACCTGTTTTTTTTCTAGACAGAAATTCCCTTCATATTATGTGGTTGCAAGAGGCTTAAAGCTATTTACATCTTGATTTACTAATTCAAGCTGTGATACTCTTTCCAAAGAATTTATTATATACATATAACCCTTTATGTTCAAAGTTGTTCCTAGAAGTACTCAGCAGTTTGGAAATGGTTGAGTTAATTATCTTATATGGATTGTGGTAAACAGTTATCCAGTCTTTGAAAACTTTAATCTAATCTTTTAAAACCCAGAAATACATATATATTAAATAAATAAGCACTGAAAACTATATATGAATTGTAATAGCTAATTTACATATTGTATGTCTAAAACCATGCACATATAGAAATACTAGAAGGAAATAAGCCAGAATATTAATGGTTGGTTGTTATATCCATGAGATGGGATTATTGGTAATTTATTTCTTCTTATGCTTTTTATATTTTCTATGTCTTCAATAATGAGTATATGTTACTTTAAGTAGAAAAAAATATTTAAGACAAATTATGATCTCAAAAATAGAGATTCCTCAAGAATCAAAGAACACCCAGCATTTTATTTTAAAGGTAGAAATGATACCATTGCTCAGTTTTCAGGAGATATTTGGAAGAATTCTTTGTCATCCAGAACAACAGACAATTTTCTTCTCATTCCATAGAACTCCGAAAGGCAAAAACTACTTTTTTTTTTTTAACATTCAGCCTAAAATTGGGCGTGTATTGTTGCCCCAGAATAACCACTGTCTTGTTTTTCATTTTTAGCAGTATACTCCATTCTTCTCCCTTTCCCCCATCTCACTGCCATTTTAATAATTTCCACTAATCACACTTTTAGTTTCATGATTTTTAAATCTAAATAGTTTTTATTCCTAAGATTTGATTTGATGTAATATGAATGCTACCTGTACTGATTCCAAGAAATTATTTTATTTTTCTCCTCATTTTCCCTTTGAACTAGGATGAAACAATGCCTGATTTAAGACGTTATATGATAAAGTTAGTTAAATCTAAGTTTGAATCCTAGCCACAGCAGTTACTGCCTTTCAACTTTAAAGCTGTGTAATACTTTCATATCCTCTTTTGTAAAATTGAAATAATAACAAAATTATTATCAGGATCCTGTGAGATACTATGTGGAAAATACTTGTTATAGTTCCTTGCACATGGTATTTAATTATTGATAATTATCATTGTTATGTTTTTGTTACCTCTTTTCCTCTTCTTCAAAGACCACTTTCCTTAGATTGTTTAAGACTATTGCATGTATTAATTTTGCATAAATACTTTTATTTTCATCTGTTCCAACAGACAAAAAAGGAAATAGAGATGAAAGGTGTGTGGCCCATGCCATCAAAATACAGTGAAGAAGGAGTTTACCGCATCCAGTACAGTGTCATTAAAGAAGCGGAGCATCACTGCCTGCTGCACAGCCCCATTCCTGTGACGTGTCCCGTGAGACTGCTCCACGGCATGAAGGATGACAGCGTACCGTGGCATACGGCTGTGCAGGTTGCTGACCGAGTAGTTAGCACAGACGTAGATGTCATCCTCCGGAAGAACAGTGATCACCGAATGAAGGAAAAAGCAGACATTCAACTTCTGGTTTACACTATTGATGACTTAATTGATAAGCTTTCAACCATAGTTCACTAGAATCACAACTTTAGTTGGTATGCAAAGTAATGGATCCAGAAGATGGAAGAGAGTAACAGATGAAAGACCTTGATACTTAGAAGGTTTTTCCTCTTCTCTCTACTTTGTAAATATCATGTGAGTATTTATCTAATGATGTATTTTCACAAGTGATACAAATTGTGAAGAAAGTGCCAGCTGCTGTTTGAAAAATGTTCTCCCACCTCAATCCCTGATATTTTTTTCCTTAAAATATTTCCTATTTTTTTATTCAAGAAATGTTTACCTTCTGAATGCTCATGTTAACTATGCCAGCTCTTACTTAGATTTGCTAATAAAGCTTAATTTGTTTTTTATTTGATATCATTGTATATGAAGATTTGTAAAATTATCTCTGAATTTAAAATGCAGTTCACAAAATAGAGGAACACATTTATTGAAATCTGAAATGACTAGAGAAATGTATAAAGCATAATAAAGTTCATAAAAGGCTATTACTTTTTGTCTTCTGCATGTTACATTTGAACTTAAAATCAAGGTTATTCTTTTTTAAGGGCTCAAAACTATAAATATATAAAGGATATGTATCATTTTAAACTTTTTGTCTTCTGCATGTTATATTTGAACTTAAAATCAAGGTTATTCTTTTTTAAGGGCTCAAAACTTTATAAATACATAAAGGATATATATCATTTTAAACTTTTGGCTAATATGTCATATAGTTAAGTGGGGGGATTTCATTTTAAGCATTGATGTTGTTGTACAGTCACTAAGTTGTGTCCAACTCTTTGCAACCCCACTGACTGTAGCACACCGGGCTTCCCTTTCCTTCACTATTTCCCAGAGTTTGCTCAAATTCATGTCCATTGAGTTGGTGATGCCATCCAACCATAGCGTCTTCTATCTCCCCCTTCTCCTCCCGCCTTCAGTCTTTCCCAGCTTCAGGGTCTTTTCCAATGAGTCAGTTCTTCGCATCAGGTGGCCAGTTTTGGAGCTTCAGCTTCAACATCAGTCCTTCCAATGGATATTCAGGGTTGATCTCCTTCAGGATGGACTGGTTGGATCTCTTTGCAGTCCAAGGGACTCTCAAGAGTCTCTCCAGCACCAGTTCAAAAGCATCAATTCTTTGGCACTTAGCTTTTTTTATGATAGTATTTTCATATTCTGATTTCATATTCCAAAGAAGAAATAAATCTTTATATATTATCACCTACCTAAAGAAACGTTTCTTTTTTGTTATTAATAATACGGGCCTAAAGTACAAGTAACCGAGTGCTTGCCATCTTTATCAGGGCTTCCCAGTGACTCAGACAGTCAGAGTCTGCCTGCAGTGCGGGAGACCCGGGTTCCATCCTGGGGTCAGGAGGATCTCCTGGAGAAGGAAATGACAACCCACTCCAGTATCCTCGCCCAGAAAATTCCATGGATGGAGGAGCCTGACAGGCTACAGCCCATGGGGCCACAAAGAGTTGGACACGACTGAGCAACTTCCCTTTCTTTGCCATCTATGTCAGAGGGCTTTCTAAAATGTAGAGATAGTAAGAAAATATGAAATGGAAATACAGTTTGTTTGTTTAATAATTAAGCTTGTGCAGTAATCAGACTTGATACAGATTGATGTCTTTTAGTTTTTAAGTTTGGACTCCCATTTAGCCTGTTGAGGTTATATCTGTCAAACTAGTTGACAACAAACATACACACACACACACACATATATATATATATACTGAACATGTGTCAAAAGATTTACTTAACTCATTGATAAAGGAATAGGATGGTTCAAAGGACAATTCAAGAGGCATTTATAGATACTAAAGAATGTTGGGATAAAAGTCCTCTGCTGAAAAGTGTTAACATAGCCAGTGACTGCTTATCCTCGGAGACACCTGCTTACAAGCGTCACCCTTGGCTGGTATCTCAGGAACTTGGATTTTAGGAACGTTGCCCCATTTTGTTAGGGAACTGTTGACCGAAACTGTCCACCTTGGCCACACAATGATAACCGCTTGTCTTGAGTTGTCTCACAAAAGGAGGTCCCAATAAAGAACGTGGTGCTGCCATTGAAAACGAACCAGGAAGGTTTGGAAGGGGCCGCAATGCAGGAGGAGCCCAGAGTCTGTCTCATAAAAGTAACCCAAAGAGAAGGAGGGAGAAAGGGAACTCCCTTGCACTGTTGGTGGGAGTATAAATCGATAGCAGCCACTATGGAAGACAGTATGGAGATTCCTTAAAAAACTAGGAATAAACTACCGTAGAAATAATACAATACTAGGAATAAAATGACCCAACAAATCCCACTATTGGGCATATACTCTGAGAAAACCATTATTGAAAAAAAGCATGTACACCAATGTTCACTGCAGCAGTATTTACAGACATAGAAGCAACCTAGATATAAACAGATGAATGTATAGAGAAGTTGTGGTACATATATAGTGGAATATTACTCAACCATAAAGAGGAGTGCATTTGAGCCAGTGCTAATGAGGTGGATGAACCTAGACCCTATTATACGGTGAAGTAAGTCAGAAAGAGAAAAACAAACAGCATGTATTAGTGCATATATATGGGATCTAGAAAGATGGCACTGATGAACCTATTTGCAGGTGAGCAGTAGAGATGCAGACAGAACAGATTTATGGACACAGAGTTGGGGGAAGGAGAGGGTGGGACGAATGGAGAGAGTAGCATGGAATCGTGCGTGTTAAGTTGGTTGAGTTGTGTGTGACTCATTGTGACCCTGTGGGCTAGCCCACCAGGCTCCTCTGTCCCTGGAGATCCTCCAGGCGAGAATACAGCAGTGGGTCGCCATGCCCTCCTCCAGGGGATCTTCCTGACCTAGGGATCAAACCCACGTCTCCTGCGGCTCCTGCTTTGCAGGCAGATTCTTTACCGCTAAGCTACCAGGGAAGCCGTGGAAATAGACACTACCATACGTAAAACACATAGTCAAGTGGGAATTTGCTGTATGGCTCGGGGATCTCAAACTGGGACTCGGTAACGACCAAGAGAGTGGGATGGGGGAGGAGGAGGGAGGGAGTTTCAGGAGGGAAGGGACATGTGTACCTATGGCTGATTCATCTCGATGTGTGGCAGAAACCAACACAATACTGTAAAGCAGTCATCCTTCAATTAAAAAGAAAAACTAACCTGAAAGAATTCGGGAGGGGCCCAAAGGAGGAAGGAGGAGACTATATCCTGCCTACCTCCAGAAGCCCTCACCCCGGAATTCATCTTGGCTGAGAGATGCATGTGCCATCAGGAGGGACTCTGAGTCCGAATGGCCAGAGGTAACCCAGAAACTAGCCTCATCACCACAGAACCTGAGACAGAGTCACAGAGCAGAACAATCCTGGGTTCCCTTCCCTGCTGCTCCCCACCTGGGCACCCCTTCCCGATATAGTCTCTTGGTCAGTAAAGTCATTTGCTTTGTATCTTCTTGGACAATCCATTTCTGAGCATTAGACCAGAGCCCTGTCTCAGACCCTGGAAGGGATTCCCCTTTCCCAACAATTCCAGAATTGATCAAAGTGGCTCACTGTGCCTAAACTGTCCATACAAACAATGAGGTCTGTGCTGGACAAATGCTTTCCTTCTATGAGTCTGGCATTTTGGTAGGTGCCAGGCAGAAACTGCGCAAGTGGCCAGCTCTCAATAAAACACTCCTCACTGAGTTCCTCCAAGCTTCTCTGGGGAACATTTCATGCATACTGTCACAACGCATCTGGGAGAAGTAAGCCCAACTTGTGAGACTACTCGGAGAGAGTTCTTAGACGCTCAAGCCTAGTGTCCGCGGACTTCACTTTGGTGCGTTTTTGATTTTCTGATTTTGCTTCGTATCCTTTCACTGTAATAAACCATAGCTGTGAGGCAACTATATGCTGAGTCTTGTGAGTCTCCCTAGTGAAATGTCAAACCTGGGAGTGGTCTTGGGGACCCCTGACACAGATCCAAAACATATTAATATCCTATGGGGCCATAAAACATAATCTAGGAGTTATCTTTTGTACTAAACAAAAACCACTGACAAACCAAAACCCCAGGAGCCATCTGCGTGCCACAGCGCCTGGTGTCCGAGCAGGTTGGCAGGACCTCTCTTCAGGGGCCTGTGTTGCCCAGGCACTGTTAGGCAGGATTCTTAGAAAGATGAGGAAAGGGCTCCTGCCCATGAGAGCTGTCCAGGGTTACACATGATTATGAGAAAATGCAATTAATACGATTAGAGAGTCACAGTGCTTCTGCGGAGGCAATACCTGCAGGGCTTAGAGGCAGAGTCTCTGGAGCTTTAGGTTTCCGTCCTGGTTTACCCCTTCCTCGAGCTGTGACTGAGCCATTCACTTAAGCTCTCTGAGGCTTCCTCGTCTGTGAAGCGCCATAATATAAACCTATTTAATAAACTAAGGATCAGGCACAACACATTTAGAATAATGACAAACTGGAGTCAGTACCATTTCCCTTGTAGTTTTCTAAAGGTTTATTTCTTTTGAATTCAGAGTCGCAGCCACTGGATCAACAAGAAAGTCCCTCGCTTGTATTCTTATGTGTACCAACACAGGCCAGTGAGAAGCTGGAGGGCACAATTCATCGGAGTTTAGGGAGGAAAGGGAAGGCAAGGATGTGAGTAGGGCTTCTAAAACAACTGGAGTGGTATTTCCAGTTCCCAAGATCCCAAGTGGAAGGTTAGCTGTATGGTATCCTTTCAAATGCTCAATGGCTAGGAAAAAGGAGGGGCAGGAACCTTCATTACTTAAGATGGGAAAGCCGTCTTAAAATTTAACCTAGCTTTGCAGATGTTGGCATCATAAATTCCAAATTAGTTTGATGTAGGACATTGTTAATTCCTTTAGTGTTCCTTTTCATTCCTTCCCCCCACCGAAGCTCCTCTTTTTCTAAAACCACCCCATGCCATGTATTCAGTGATACGGAAAATACTTGAACAGCCAGCAGGCTCAGAGTGCCTATCCTCTGGAATTCCTGCATTGATTTAAAAGCAACACAGGCCCTCTAAGCAACTGCAGCTCCTGCAAAGGGAGAGGGTAATGTCAGTGGAGAGGAAGGCCAGTGAGAGCACAGAATACATTCGCTTTTGCAGAATCTGTTGAGCTCAGAGGTATTTCCAGACACAAATTTACACAGTATGCTGATCTCTGAGCAGCCAATAGATAGGTCTGTGAGGAGGAGAAGAGGAAAAGAGCTTTGGGCAAGGCTGAATTTTATAAAGCACGAAGATGCAGAGCAAGAGAACATTACTTTGAGACACAACCATTCCCAAGGAAGTACCCAAAGGGGATGTGTCAAATTTTCATTACATTTAAAGCTGTTTAAAAACAAAACAAAACAAAACACCTAAGGAGCTCTATCTTCTGAAGGAAGAAAGAAAATGGGTGGAATTTAGATATATCTTTTTCAGATCCCCTTCCATTACAGACCTGAAGTCACTTTTTAGTTTAGAAATATGATCACGTAATATGCATAACTTGGCTTGATGAAAAAATGTGATGCTTTGGTGCATTTAGAGTATATACCTCAAAACTGCATGCAATTTTAAAAATCAAATTTGTCTTTTGAAGAAACATCTTATAGAAAGGAAGCTCAGATCTCAGCTTCTCACTGCCTTCCTGACTCATCCTCATCTCTGAGTCCTAGAATTTTCTCGGTAGGTGCTCTGTGCTCTCTCATGAACAGCACTCTGCTCAAGCCTTTTTGATAGAACATACTGCTTGGAAAGTCTCAGTTTATATGCCAACCTCCCTCTCCCAAAGCACCACTGGGAACAGCAGCTTTGTTCTGATGTTCTCCAACCCCAGGCCTCCCCAGCCGCACACATCATCTCCTTGGTGTGATGCTGACATTCCCTTCTGTTCTGACCTTGGCACTCTTCTCTTGTGTGCATGTGTGCTGTCATCTCAGCCCTGTCCGACTCTCTGCAACCCTATGGACTGTAGCCCCCCAGGCTCCTCTGTCCATGGGATTCTCCAGGCAAGAATGCTGGAGTGGGTTGCCATGCCCTCCTCCAGGGGGTCTTCCCTGTGCAAGGATCGAACCTCCATCTCTTGTGGCTCCAGCACCGCAGGAGGCTTCTTTACCACTGAGCCACTAGGGAAGCCCAGACTCTTCTCATGCAACATACTTATTCAGCTTGAGCAACTTCACCCAGATTCTTGGTTTTAACTGCTACCTGCATGAAGATAATTCAACTACATTCCTTCATTCCAGATTTTTCTCTTGAGCTCCAGATGCAAAAAACCCACTGCCTAATGACTGGGAT